CACACTTACCCTGATCACTAACAATGCTTGTGAGAATCAGGCATGAAAAACCCTGCCTCACACCTCAAAGTATAGACACAGAACGAGCTGGGAGGGGGATATTTTCTTAATAGATAATGAACCATCTTTCCAATGAATAAAAGAAAACTGACAGGAAAAATATTACTACTGGCTATAAAAGAAACAGGTGTTGGAACAGCACCGTTTATGACCTCAGCTCCTGTTTGCACTTGGATTATGTCCGGTTTACACAAGATAAAGCCAAATTGTCATATGTTTTAACTCTGATAGAGATGACAATGGTTGGGAGTAGGGCACAGACTATGGTCTCCCCTTTGGCCCTAAAACAGTGAGCTGTGAAGCAATGCACATACACCCCATTGTTTCGGTCATTTTCTTTATTTTTTTTAAATATGTTTTTATTGGGGTTTTTTTAAAAGAGAGAGAAACATTGACGTGAGAATCATCGATTGGCTGCCTCCTGCATGCCCCGCACTGGGTTTTGAGCCCATAATCCGGGCATGTGCCCTGACCAGGAATCGAACCAGCGGCCTTTTGGTGCATGGGAGGATGCTCAACCCACTGAGCCACACCGGCTGGGCTCTGTCATTTTCTAATGTAGCCAGTGCCGTCTCCATCATCTGCTAAGTTGCCGGACCAACTACTAGGTATCTGCTATACAAGTATCAGTCCGATACATTGAGGATGGTGTAGCCAGAAAATTCACATCAGGAAGTGAGAAAGAAGCAGAAAATAAGCAAAAACTGAAAAGGGGGTGTTGGGTCTCACAGAGACCCAGGGCCGTGCACCTCCCCAAAGTTACATGCTACTGGAGGAAGTCCAAACATTTAAAACAGGACACGCTTTTCAAAGGCGCAGAGCATCCTCCCCCCTAGTAAAGCAAAATGCGCTCTCCAAGGAGCCCACTTCTACCTCCAGACAAGTTGTCACAAAACAAGCTCAATAAGCATCATCACTGACAGCAGCACCAACGTACTCGGCAGAGCCAGGCTCCGGGTGTTTGCGGGAGGGCACTGGGTGCTGGTCTGTGGTCACATCCCTTAGATGTCATTTTAGAAATGCAATCTGCCCCAAATCACACGTCACAACGTAAGAGAGGCATCTATCAAAGTGCGTGCATTTAAGATTGTGCACAAAGAGAAAACACAGGAAGCCACACGACTGATCGTGAGAATTATGATTTTGACAGAAAACACCATTACCTACAGGAAGAAAACGACATTTATCCCACTATTTAGAAATCCTAAGAAAATACACAGAGTGAGAAAGAGAGTGAGAGAGATTGTTTTTTTTTAAAAAAAGTGGACATATTTGCCCAGCCGGTGTGGCTCAGTGGATGGAGCGTCATGCCACGGACTGAGAGGTCCTGGTTCAATACATGGTCAGGGCACATGACGGGTTGCAGACTCAATCTCCAGTAGGGGGCGTGCAGGAGGCAGCTCATCGATGTTTCTATCTCTCTCTCCCTTCCTCTCTCTCTAAAAAACCAACAAAGCAGAAGGCGACCTGAGCAACTCTCCGGGTGACTGGTTGGCGTAACACACACAGGGCGGTGGACGGGCCAGCACTGTCCTCTGGCCTTGGTGCCAAGCATGACCAGCAAAGGCGCTTGGCTGCAAGCAGAACAGGGAGTGTGGGGCAACAAGCCGGAGGGTGATAACCAGGAGCAGGTGATACCCAGGAGGAGTGGGAAGCAGCAGCCTGACCTACACTGGCTCAGCCAGTCCAGCTGGTTATTCCAACCCTGCCCACTGTTGGTGAAGACGGGACACCGCACACAAAATCAGCACACCCAGATGGCAGAGAGGAGACACACAAACATCGGCAACAAACACAACAAACTGTTATCCGCAGAAGGAAGCACAGGTCCTCAGATGACTCTGTTTCGTTCAACACTGTTTTGGTCAACACTGTCCCGTTAGAATGTTGAGGACAGGCGGTAGGAACTTAACCCGTGTTCCTATCAATGGGCCTGTGGGAAAACGGGTTTCATTGTAGGTGGTTTCACTCCAAGTTGCAGAAACTAGGACCAGGTTAAGTGAGGACTTACTGTGTACTTAACACTCTCAAAATATGAGAGAGAGAGAGAGAAAGAGAGAGAGAGAGAGAGGGAGAAAGGGAGAGAATCATCTCATGGGACAGAAATAGGCTGCTATAAAAATGAAAACAAAATGGCAATTGAGCCCTGACCAGTTTTCCCAGTGGTTAGAGCATCGGCCCTCAACCAAAGAGTCACGGGTTTGATTCCTTGTCAAGGATACATGACTGGGCTGCAGGTTCGATCCCCAGTGAGGGTTGTGCAGGAGGCAACCAATCACTGTGTCCCTCTCACATGGATGTTTCTCTCTCTCCCTCACTCCCTAGCACTCTATCTAACAATCACTGGGAAAGCACCCTCCAGTGAGGATCAACCAACAGAAAAGGTAATGGAAAGGGATTAGCACAAAGATAACTGATAAGAAAAGGATTAAGTGGAAGGACAGGCTGAGGAATTCCTCCCGAAAGGAAAGCACCATGGGAAGAATGAGAAAGGAAAGCGAAGAGACACAGAAGACAGAGGAGATGGCCCATGAGCCCTCCCTTCGTCCCTCGGGGCCCTCACCACAGAGCAGAGAGGAGGCAACAGGGCAAACTGGTCAAACCCACAGAGAGACTCTAAATCCTTTAGAATAACAGGCCCCACCTACTAAATAAAATCAATAGGGGGAAAAAAAAAAAGCCACAAAGGACAAACAGATATATTTGCCTAGAGTGTAAAATAACATCTTTGAAGGACAAGAAAGGGCATAGAAATGAGGGATAAACAACAGACTGGGAAGGGAAAAAAAATACTTGCAATGTATAACAAATGAATGTTGTTGCTGAAAATTGTAAAGAATAGCAAGCATTGCAAAGGGGTTGAAAAAAATCTCAATTGAAAACTGGGCAAAAAAATACAGAGAGAAATTCACAGAAGAAGAAACACAAACGACCGTGTTTATCATCATCCTGATTCCTGAAGTACAGATTAAACACGGGGAATCGACACCGGACCCAGGAGACTGGCAAAAACTAACAAGAGGGATACAAGTAAATAACCAATGTTATCAAAGTGGGGAACACATGCACACTCTAGGAGAGGGAGTATTGTACATTTGGGGGAGAAATTTGCCACTATCTCTTAAAATTAAAAATATGCATCCTCTGGTCCGGCCAGTGTGGCTCAGTAGATTGAGCATCGTCCCATGGACTGAGAGGTCTTGGTTGGATTCAGGTCAGGGCACATGCCTGGGCTATGGGCTCAATCCCCAGTGGGGAGTCATGCTCCAAAGAGGCAGCTGATCGATGTTTCTCTCTTATATCAATGTTTCTATCTCTCTCTAAAAAATCAATAAAAGCATATTTAAAAAAAACACCAAACCATAAACATATCCCCTGGATTCTGTCTAGCTGCTAACAACACCTAACTTTTATTAAGTGCTAGAAGCCAAGCATTGCTTTTATTCGTTTAATGTAAGCAATTACCTTTCATCCGCCCAATGGCCAATAGGGCAGATCCACGTTACTGTCCTTGTTTTACAGATGAGAAACCTAAGGCACAGAGAGGTTGAGGGACATTGCTTGAACCACACAGCAATCAATAGAGGAGGCAAGTTTGAGCCCAGGCATCTGGCTGCACCGTCTGCTCTCAAACACATGCTATTTTTATCAAAGACATGTTCTTATCTGCGCACAGAACCACATGCAGGATGCTCACCACAGCATCGTTTCTACTGCTGAGCAAGTAGGGAAATCAGTCATCAGTAGTACGGGGCCAGTTACAGAACACACCACACCCGGGACACTGCGAGTACGTGAAAAAGACGTATGCACACGGCAAAGCACGGTCAATCCGGGATTCATATTGTGAAGCAAAACAATAATAATAATACAGAATAATAAGGATACTGTAGCATCATTTTAAATTTTAAAAGCATGTGTGTCAATTCACAGAACACATGGAAAAGGTAAACAAATCATGCACTATCCTGAGGGAGGAGAGTTTGGTGGGATTTCAGGAAGAGGGGGACCAGAGGGCATTTCCATCTATGGGTATGTTGGATGACTTTATAATAAGAATGTTCCAAATCTTTCTCGTGAATGATTAAAGTTGGATCAAGGGAACACAGTTGTATGCTGGGTGTAAAGTTATTACAGTAACCTTAGTTCATTTAAAACAACTTTATGTGGTGATGATTATCATTATAATTATCATTAACTTACTGATAGTAAAGGACGATAAGGTTTGGTATGTTTAAATAATTTGCTGTACAAGGACCTACAACCAAGGTTACTCTACTCTGCGAAGCTATCATCCAGAATCGACGGACACCTAAAGAATTTCCCAGACAAGAAAAAGAGAAAGGAGTTCATCACCACCAAACCAGTATTATATAAAATGTTGAAGGGTCTTCTTGAAGAAGCAGATCAAAGCTGTGAACAATAACATGGCAATAAATACCTATCAACAATCGAATCTACAAACCAAATGAACAAGCAGAACAGAAACAGATGCACAGATACAGAGAACTTTTTGTTGGTTGCCAGATGGGAGGGGGTTGGGGGGATGGGCAAAACAAGGTGAAGGGATGAAAAAGTGCAAATTGGTTGTTAGACTGAGGGACCTCAAAGGGAAGGGGGGAGGGGGGATGAGAAGAAAAACCAAAGAACTTATATGCCTGTACGCATAACCAATGCACACAGACAATAGTGTGGGGAAGGCAGGAGTGAGGAGGAGGGGCCAATGGGGGAAAAATGGGGGACATCTGTAATACTTTCAACAATACAGATACAACAAATAAATAAATAAGTTGCCACAAATGCCCTGATTGCTGGAGAGGCTCAGATTTGAGGTCCTGCCTCTCGTAAACCACGCCGAGGTACAGAAGGCTGGCTAACCACGTTGCTACAAGGGTGGGAGGTCTGCAGGCTGCCAACAGCGTTGCGGAGCCGGGACTTACCGCAGCGATCGCGGATGACCAAGTTCCGGCCCTCCTTCAGGTGGATGGTCAGGAGGTAGGCGAAGGGGCGGGGCAGGTTACTCAAGCCATCGCTGGCTTCCCCGAGGGTCTGTAGAGAGGGACAAGTAAAGTCAGTTTTCTTGGGGATCCCCGGGAGAGAATTTCAGACGCACTTCTACACTGAAGGTGAAAAAAAATGGTCACTCCAATGGCCAGTCTCCAAGAGGGAACTCCATTCACTCTGATGACGCGGTTACTTTGCTCGGTTAGCATGGTCTTTCTATTTCTCCCCAGCGGGACTCTGTCAGAATTCAGAGACGGTCACGATACTATCTTCACAATGTTAACTGTCCAAGAAGAATGAGAACATGTGGGCCACCCTCCCCTCATTCGGTGAGGGCAGGACTCTGTAGTCAGTCACCCACGGTGGAGCCCGAGAGAGGGAAGAACACTCAGAAGTGAAGTCAGTCCCCACCAACATGGGTCCACCCTCCCAGAGTCAGAAGGAAAATGTCTCCCTCGTCTCCCTACTTCTCCCCGACCCCCATCAACTCTGGTACATCTCCTCCATGTAGAAGAAAAACAGTTCAGTCCACAAACACTCAGCTGACAGCCTACTGAGCCCGAATGTCCATCCGACATTGGCCCTGGTCTGTGTCCATGTGGGATGCACTCTGTCTGTCCTGTGCCCTCCTGTTTTTTCCATGCTTTTCTGTCAGCCCCTGGCCCCCCACCATGGTGTCTCTTACACTCGCCCTCACAGGTTCACCTCCCCACAGAACTGTCCACGCCCCCCTCTGGGAATGCATCAACTCCTATAGGCCATAATGTCCAATTCTCGTCTACTTTGAGTAGTTACTAAATGGGTCCAGGTAAAGCTTCGAACTTGAGCTTTGCACTAATTTAAATGTTTGTCATTCCATGGGGAAAGGACAGATGAAATAATTTATCGGTCACCTATTTGACATTCAAGTTCATCGATCCTGTGTTTAAGTCACCTAACAGTCTTCTTTTGTTTGTTTTTCTTTATTGATTTTAGAGAGAGAAGAAGGGAGAGGGAGAGAGAGAGAGAAACATCGATGAGAGAGGACATCGACTGGCAGCCTCCTGCATGCCCCCCACTGGGCATTGGTCCCACAACCTGGGCATGTGCCCTGACCGGGAATTGAACCAGCGACCTCTTGGTGTATGGGTCAACACTCAACCACTGAGCCACACCAGCTGGACAACAGTCTTCTTTTGAAAGTTTACCCATCCATGTTTCAAAGCACTTCAAAATGTCTTTGTCTCCTGTCCCATCTCACTCGATTTCATAGCTTTGCTGTATTTTTAGAAGAATCTATCCCAGGCTCACAAATCAATAGACACCGAATTAATCTTCTCCAGCCAGAATTTGCAAGGCCTGTCTTCATAAAGTGAATACAACTGATTGTTCTTTAGAAATAAACGAGGCAAAGAAATACAGGTCTGGACATGTAATGAGAAATGCTTACGACACTGACTTTCAGCGTTCATTTGTTTGAAAGGAATGTCACTCACCGATTGTTCTTCAAAATGCTGGGATGTCATAGAAGCATTGATATCGTCACGTCCACAGAGCTTCTGTAAATGAAAAGAGAAAAACAACCCTGCTTTTAAACAGCAAGAGAATATCAACCTACAAGGAAATCCTACACCAGTTGGTTCCTGCTGGGAGGCTGTCATTTGCATGTTCAGTTTGAGGTGCAAGGGCTGTTTCCCTGTGTGTCTAGCAAGTCTTGAAAAGGCTGACTCAGTGGAGTCCACCTTCATCGCTGATCAGAGCGTAGATAAGGCCGACTCTGCGCTCTCGCTGGGCCAATGGCCCACCCCTAGTTCATCAGATGCTTAGCAGGAGCAACAGGGCTATTGCACCACGACCCTCCCAGGTCCTGCCTGGCTTCCTCCACCACAGACCAAAGATGGCAGCTCAGGAACCAGAGAACCAAGCTTATTAATCAGGTGAAAAATATTTCCGAAATGGGATCTGAAAGACCTTCCCCAAGCCAGACCCTCGTGGGTCTAGAACCTGTACAACCACATGAGTGGGAAAGGCATGCTCTGGACCAACAGCCCCAGAATGAAGGGTGTCTGTGTTTCCTCATTTCAATCTTCCTCGGATGCTCAGGAAATGATTCCACAGGGCAGTGGAACGTACATGACTCAGCAGTCAGTACGGGATCCCGTAGACATCACTGTTGCCCGTTGCTCCGCACACAGGCAGGGTCCAGGGGCGCGCGGGCAGTTTGGGGGAGGTTCTGGGCTGGATGTGTCAGGGCTCGTGCACAGAAGGGCGGAGCAGAGGGGAAATGAGCAAACGGCCTCCCAGCATTTTGGTTCTATTCCAGTTTCTCTCTCGTGAGCCAGGGCTGATTTCTTATATAAAAAAAAACAAGAGATTTCCCCCTCCAAAGGCTGGGTAACTCCAAAGGAATGGGCAGATTAGAGATGCAAAGCAGGCCAGCAGAGGTTGCTGAGATGGTCGTGAACCACTGGGGGTAGAAGTGAGGACCAGAGACACGTGCTCATTGTTCCTTCCATCCACAGTGACCATTAGGGAGGTCCTGGCACAATTCGGAGATCCCGCCTGGGTCTCAGGTGGCAGTAGAACCCAGGTGCCCAAGCAGGTGAGCAATTCCTCAGCCCCGAGGAGGCATGGTGAGGTGGTGCAAACAAGCAAGCTTTCTGGTCTACCTCGTTTATACCAGGCGGAAACGGCCACAAGTCAGCTTGGAGCCTCCGCAACCCTCACCAGGAAGAACAGAAGCACCACAGTTCTTCACATCTGCCTCTTCCTCCACCAGCCCCGGGTCTAATGCCCCAGTACATCTCGTTTAGTCCAGATGAACTCACACAGGTCACAGGCGAGTTCAGACACTCCGACCTTTCCCGAAGGGGCCCCCACTTGAGTCACGGGAGCATCCTGGCTCTGGAAGAGCCACACCGGCCAGCCAGGGAAAGATCCCTCACTCCCGATGTGGGGCTCGACCTGAGAGCAGACAGGAAAGGAGGCAGCAGGGCCTTTGCTGAACACCCCAATCCTGGGACCCTGGTGCTCCGTGTCTCCTGTCTGTGTTCTATGTAAAAAAGACGCTCACCCCAGCTGGACAGGACTGTCTGAAGATTGTTTATGATGACAACTGGAACCTTATTCAATGTCAAAGAGTTCTCATGCCTTTGCTACCACACACTATGGATTCCCAGGAACTTAGTAATTCCTCTTCTGCCCAGTTTTCAAAATCAAACCAGCCCTACCAGGTCTCCACGCACAGAGCCGACAATGACATGCTGTCTGGTCCTCTGAAGCCAGAACATCTCCATTAATGTCTCCAGTTTTATTGAATGAACCAATGCTCGACTTAACCAATCCTAGCTGAAGGCAATTTCACAAAACTACCAGTGCTGAGATCAGAATTACTGTTTATAGTGCATGGTTACGCCCAGCAAGTGTGGCTCAGTGGATTGAGCATCGTCCCATGAACTGAGAGGTCCCGGTTCGATTCCCGGTCAGGGCACATGCCCAGGTTGCAGGCTCGGTCCCCAGTAGGGGGCGTGCAGGAGGCAGCCGATCAATCAATGTTTCTCTCTCACATTGATGTTTCTAATTCACTCTCTTCCCCTCTCTCTAAAAAAAAAAAAAAAAACAACAAAAACATATTTAAGAAAAAAATAATAATAAAGTGTATGGTTGCCCTGGCCAGTTTGGCTCAACGGTTAGAGCATCAGCCCACAGACCAGAGGCCTGGGTTTGGCATGTACCTCAGTTGCAGTTTGTCCCCGGCCCCGGTTGGGGTTGTGTGGGTGGCAACCCCTCGATGGGTCTCTCTCACATCAATGTTTCTTTCTCTCTCTCTTCCTCCCTCTCCCTCACGCTCCATCTGAAGATAAATGCAAAAATATCCTCGGGTGAGGATACATAAAAAATAAAGTGCATGGTTATTAGCCAAGGGTCGCAGTGGCTGGGTATCTTCTATCATCAGATAAAGTAGATATGCTTAAAAGAAAAAGCCTCACCCCTCAGACTTCCCACCATCGACTCTCCCCTAAGTTAGCCTCACCGCACTTGATAACGTTAATGAAGTGGCAAGATGAGTCCACACCCCACCACCACTTTCATGCTATCAAAAACAAATGCAGAGCTTTTCCTCAAACACGCAGTAAGTCTTCCACTTACGACAACATGGAAATTAAATATGAAGAATGACATTAATTCAGAATAACATGATGGCTGGTTTTACTCACAGAAAAGTCACAGAACTTAAAGTTATGGTTCCCATAGCCACTGTAACTGTCACAAGCTATATATACACATCAAGGAAGGGAAGCGGTCATCATAAAGAACGAAAATGTCACCCAGGCACAGGAGGACTGGGCTGCAGCGGGGGGGCCCCCATAAATGAATATCCCCTCCTCTCTGCATAGAGCCCAGGTACCCCCCACAGAGGCAAAACTGCATTATTTCCACCTTCCTTGTAAACCTGGTAACTACATGAGTGAGGTTTCATTAAAAAGGGAGTTTGGGGGCAATTAATATTCATACATAATATTAATGGTAATATTAATAAATAATACCAGGGGAAACCCTGGTAGCTCACTATCATTAGAAGTTTTTTTGTTGTTGTTGCTTTGTTTTTTAATCTTGAAAGGGGCGGGAGAGAATATAGAATAGAAAACTAGTCACAGTGGTGTACCAGACATCACAAAGATTAACGACCTGATTATCTATCAGAACGCTGAACACTGGACCCGTGACTGTGACTCACTGGATAGCGGCCCCTGCAGCCCCCACCGACGTTCCTCCCTCTTGCCTGTAACCCTTTACCCGTTTGTGTTTTCCTTCTTGCCTAACTGCCCTTTCTCACGTGGCCATTGTTTCTCTACCCTTTCAAAGCAGCTGGCAGTATAGCCGGCGTGGCTCAGTGGATTGAGCATCATCCCATGGACTGAGAGGTCCCAGTTTCATTCCAGGTCAGGGCACATCCCCCGGTTTCGGGCTCCATCCCCAGTAGGGGGCATGCAGGAGGCAGCCGATCAATGTTTCTCTCTCACATCAATGTTTCTGTTTCCCTTCCCCTGTCTCTAAAAAAAAAAATCAATAAAAACATATATTTAAAAATAATAAATGAAAGCAGCCGGCAGGGGGTGGGGGCAGATTTTATAGGATGATCCACTTGTCTTCCATACTGCCAGCAATACTGGAATAAACACTCATACGATTCAGCCCTGTCTCTATTTAATTGGCTCACGTGGTGACAGGTAGCCCAGACCCATTTGTTGCCTGGTTTCATTCTCAATAAGCATAATCAAGCACGCTGAGTCATGACACAGAACAGTTCTATCAACCCAAAGAAACTCCTCTGTGCTATCTCACTGTGGTCAGTTCTCCATCCCAACCCATGACCCGTGGTGACCAGTGATCTGTTATCAACAGAACAGTTTCAGCCTTTCCAAAGCAACATATAAATAGATTCATACACTGAAAAGTGTCACTCAGCACAATGCCCTTGAAATCCATCCGAGGCGTCTTCTGCATAAATAGTCCATTCCTTTTTATTGCCTTAGTAGTAGTCCATTGGATGGGTGTGTCGTAGTTTACCTATCCTTTAAGCATTGGTTTTAATTTCAAACAAATTGTTTCCAAAGACATACTCAGGGGAAGACAAATAATTTTGAATATTATCAATGCTACAAAAAAGTCTTGCTATGGCAAACTAATTCTATTCAGATATACAACATTAACATGTTGGTGTGAGAATTAGCATGAGGTTAGTCACTTCTCACACGACTCTTGTCACTGCCTTCCAGGTAAGTGGGTTGCGTGTGTGTTTAATGATAGTGAATTTGCATTGGTATTTCCTTCCTACCTTGCCAAATGGACAGTCATGGAAGCTAAAACATACTTTGCATTCTCTTTTGATGAGAATACCCTATCTGCAAGAATGCAAATTAAAATTCAACAGGATATGGAGAAATATTAGAATGAGTGGGTTGATTATTTTAAAAAGAAATTCTCCTCTAGTCACCAAGGATCTTAAAAGCTAGACAATGACGGGAATAAATGTTTTCCTTTTGTGTACGCTAAATGTGATCTTGTACAAATATCACCACCCACGTGGCTGAAGGATCTCACAATGAAGTACACACAGGAAGCCAACTGATAAACTATCGAACTCATTACTGGCTGTTTATACTTCAGTGAAAGGAAACAAACCCACAACTAGGAAAGCTGAAAAACAGTAAAAAGTTGGCTGAGAAGATCACTTACTTAGTCTTTGAAAAGTACTCTATTAAAGTATAGAACTATAGCAAATGATACATAGTATATATTTACTTAATTACTTAACCCACAGGTTATTGAGAATATGAATACTTTGTATCACAAACATAAATATCTCTAGGGCAAAGGGAGTAACAAAATGAGCAAAGGGAATTGGAGGCCTACACAGACGTCCTGCAGAACCTGGACAGACAGACAGAATCAAAACAACCCACACAGCAATCAGGGGTCAAAATTGGAATGTCTCCAGAAAAAGTCAGGTCTACCAGATGGCTGATAATAGCCAGTCTGTTAATTCCCAGTTTTCTTGTTTCTGGGTGGTTTTTTGTTGGTTGGTTTGTTTTTTAATTCTCACTTGAGGATATTTTTCCATTTATCTTCAGATAAAGTGGGAGGGAGAGAATGAGAGAAACATCAACTGGTTGCCTCCCGCACATCCCGACCAGGGCTGAGGACAAACCATAACTGAGGTATGTGCCCTTGAGCAGAATCAAGCCCATGACTCTGGTCCAAGGGCCGACGCTCTAACCACTGTGCAAAACCAGCCAGGACGCTCATACCCAATTTTTATGCAACATTTTGGGAGGATATTGATCATGCAATCAAGGTCTACATGTTTAATTTTCCCCTACCCCCAAGATTGTTCTCTAACAGTGATTACCCTAGAATGCTATCTAATATACAAAATATGTCATGCCTGTGTGCATGGGCATGCATGTGTGTGAGTATACCCTACTCAGTCATGTGATGGTATTAAACAGTGGTCAGCAAATTACAGCCCAACACTTGTTTTCATAGGTAAAATTCAGCCTCCCCTCCCCCATTTGTTTACATATGGTCTATGGCTGACTTTATGCCACAACTCCAGGTTCCATAGTTGCAACTGAGAGTTTTTATGGCAAAGCTGGAGATATTTGTTACCTGGCCCTTTAAGAAAAAGTTTTCCAACACCTGGTATAATAAACCTTTCTTCCCATATTTGGTAATATTTATCCACAAACGTTTATACTTTTTTTTTTCATGCTTGTTAGCAGTAGATACTTAAAAAAAAAATAATGGCCCTCTTGACATTTACAAATACGCGCTCCTATTAACTTCTTGGAAGGGGTCCATGGGCTGCCATTAGTGTTGTCAATTTACAAATCAAGAAGCCAGAGCTAAGAGGTGAGATGGTTGCCCAAGGAAAGCAAGAAGATTAGCCCCTCACCGGAGTTCCCCAGGGTTCTACAGCTGTACCCAAAACCAGGACACTCCTTAACCAGACCCCTCGTCTGATGTGCTGAGAGGCAGCTCCATAGGGGAGCAGACAGCTCTGGACTCAGAAAGACCTGGATTCGAATCCCATCTGCTACTTCCTAGCTCTGTGTCCCTGAAAAATGGTGCTTAAAGTTCATGACATGGGAACATCTCTAAAAGGGGCAAAAGGGATACTTCCTTTATCAGTTGTTAGGAGAAAAATTAAATCATTCTGAAGATATCTACTGAGCATCTTCTCTGGGCCAGACTCCATACTAGGCTCTTTGCATATAGAGCAAACCATATAGATGTGGTCAAAGGCGATAATACTTACGTTGCACTTAGCAGAGTTCCCTACACATTAGCTCTCAGTAAGTGGTCTTACATTGGTGTTGCTAGTCGATTATCATTGATACGATCATTATTGCCTTATGATTAAGACAGTGGATGTGTTTGGGAAGTGAGGAAAATAGAAACTCAATGAAGAGACTCAGCAACCCAAGTTCCTCCCTTAATTTGGACCATCCCTTCCCCATCAACGCTGTTATCCTGACAGAGAAAAGTGGCTGATGAAGACCCAAGCAGAGCTAGCTCCCCTTCCACACATGCCTGAGCACGCTGCCTCTAGTGTCTAAGGCAGGTATAGCAACACCCCTACAGGCCTTGGACCATCCTGCCCGGCCTGGGGGCAACAGCATGGAGCCCACAGGCTTCCTTGGATCCAAGCAGAGTCTCCTGGCAGGATGAGGAAGCCTACGTGATGTGACCCCAGAAGGAATTCTGGCACCTGTGTACCACTGCCCTTCACCCGCTCCTCTTCTTGCCCTTCCTGGAACCCCCAGGCACATCCCTGCCTCCGCAGTAGCCTCCACCCCTCTGTGCTGCCATTCAGAAATACTTTGTCCCCAGACAGGCACACGGCTTGCCTCCTCTGCCCTGTAGTTCCTTCCTGGATGTTATCATCTCAGACACAGCCTTTCCCGACCCCCCTGTTACAAACTGACAGCTCCTTTTCCGCGCTGTTTTTCCGCGCTGAAGTGATCACTCTGCATGCGTGTGTAGCCTGCACCGTGCGTGAGGAGGTGGATTTCTGCCTGCTTTGTTGACGGCTGTGTTCTCAGTGCCTGGGACAGGATCAGCACAGAGTAGGTGCTCAGCAGATGGACAGGAGGGAGGGATAGAGAAAAAAAAAGGAGCCAGGTCCTCCAAGGAAGCTGGGGATACAGCCACCACCCCGTCTCAGTAACACCATGATTTCTGAGATAAAACAAAAATAGTCAAAGAACACGTCATTGATTTGGGGAGCAATCGACGTACTCGTTTCGTTTTTCGAGCTGCAGGTAGTCTCCGCTCTGTGGTTTGTCATTCTGCGGCTGTGGCCACGCTGGAGCTCTGTGGTTGCCAAGCAGCTTCTAGAAATATCCCTGTGGGGTTCTTTTCTAAACCACTCAACTCATCCACAGAAGCTAGTTGTTTAAAACTCCAACTGCCAAATGAAACATTAGGGAAGGACATGCCCCACGCTGAGATCACATGGCCGATGGGGAGATAATCATCCTTCCATTCATCATCATTCGTTATTGACCATGATAAGAAGCCCATTCGACAACTATAGTTATCCCTGTTTTAAAAGGGTAAAGTGCACACAGAAAAATAAATGTCTTCTGTTGATCGCCAGCTCTGACTTCTGATGTGAGATGGTTAGTATATCAAAACCAGGAAGCCCTCCCATTTTTTCTCGTTAGTTATTAAGTGAAGATTAACACAGGTCCATTATTCATCATGTTACCTCCTTTGGACAAAACCAGTTTAATAATTCACTCAATTTGTATTTTGATTAGTGGAAACAGATTTCAAATTCATAAATATAGTAAAAATCATAAAACTGTTACCGAAAGGATTTCATAAATGTTAATGGCAATGGGAAAAAAAAGAGTTGCCCTGGCCTGTTTGGCTCAGCAGTTAGAGTCCCATGGACCAGAGGACCAGAGAGACCTGGGTTCGGTTCCCACTAGGGACATGTACCTCGGTTGCAGTTTGTCCCCGGCCCCAGTTGGGGTCATGTGGGTGGTGACCACTTGATGTTTTTTCTCTCTCTTTCTCTTCCTCCCTCTATCCCTCCAGCTCTATCTGAAGATAAATACAAAAAAAAAAAAAGTGTCCTCGGTTGAGGATTAAAAATAAAAAAGTTAAGTAAAATCACATAATGGGTAGTGTTGTCTTAATATAGTAATGTTTCCAGAAGAATCGGACCACAACAGCCTCTGAATATCCACAATGCCATTCCCCAATTAAACTGAAATACATGACATAATTAACAGGCTTTGGCTCCAAAAGCAAAACCAAAAATCCCAGTTGAATAACCAGATTTCTATGCCATTATCACACTAAACTAGAATAGAGAAAAATTAACCCCTTTCCCCAACAGTGCAACCTACTTCATGCCATGAAGGGGGGAAAATTAATCTGATTAAGTAGATGATCAAATCATGACTTAATAATCTGGTAATTATATTTAAATTAAACTTCTGAGAAATATAAGATTTATCTCATAATTATATCTGGCTGTTCTATCTTATTCAAATACTAAAATTGATAACAATTTATATCCTTTAGTATTTTTTTTTAATGTTTTTACTGATTTTTTAGAGAGGGAGAGAGAGAGAGAAATATAGATGTGAGAGAGAGACATCGATTTGCTGCCTCCTACACGCCCCCTACTGGGGATCAAGCCCGCACACCGGGCATGTGCCCTGACTGGGAATCACACTGGGACCTCTCAGTCCATGGGACAATGCTCCATCCACTGTGCCATGCCAGCCGGGCAGTATTTATTTATTTTAGAAAATGCAAGTGAAGTCACCCACAGGTAAGCGCAGACACACGCATACACATGTATGAAAAAGAAGGAAGTTCAAACCCTTTGGAGTCAAGGGGAAACATTCACACCTACATTTCTTAGGACCAGCAATATACACATTTTGTCAGCAGTAGGACTGGGCAGCGGTGTAGAGAGAGAGAAGAAGAGACACAGACACACACGTAAGCACATTTAGAGGGAAACGTATGCTCTCACTTTCTTTGCCAGGAGACGGAAACAGGAAAAGTCATCCCGTAGGGCTTTCAACGCCTTAAAGTGTCCTGGCAAAGGGTTTTTGTAATTGTTTCAAAATACAGAGAGGTCAACCCTAACACTGATGAGAACACTTGGTACAATCAATATTCCCTTCATTTAAAGTCTTGCAAATGACATCGTCTCCCTCCAGGCTAACCACGAAAATAACTCCTAATCAAATTTTCCAAGGGCACTCAGTGCAATTCAAAAGGAGAAAGCGACAGGGCAGTGCCGGCCCGGGCCTCACCTCTGGCTCTTCCAGAGCATCGTCCCCCAGGGTGGTCTTCTGCAGATCGAAGAAGCCATTGCTGGAAGCCCTCCTGCCCTCGGCCGGAAAGGCGAAGGTCTCCTCCGAGTCTGTTTCCACGTGGAGATGACCTGCTTCCTCCTGGCTCCAGTCCAGCTCTTCTTCAGACTGCTTCAAGGAGCTGCTGCTGCTCTTGGGAATGATGCCTGCAGTGGACAGGCTGCTGGGCACGGAGGTGTAGGACGCCTGGGCCCCGGAGTATGGACCACCCTCAGGGACAAAGTCCTCGGCCTCCAGGAGGTCAGGGACAGAGAGGCTGAGGCGCCGATCCAGATGATGCCTTTCCCTTGCGTCTAGGGGTTTGTTTGGGTTCTTTTTCACCTTCTTCTTGCTCAGGTTGAGTAACAAAGGCTTGGTCCGCTGTTTAAACGTGCCCCAGACAGATGGTTTATCCAGATCCATGGCTGCATGAAGACCCTGGACGTCCCTCCGTGAAAGAGACCGTCTCCTCTGAACCTTTCAGCGACTCCTAGGAAGCAGAACATAAGGAGAGAGAACATGAAACTTCTCTGTGGCGTCAGAGCCCAGGAAAGTGGGCAGCATGACTCAAAAACTGTGCACGTTCCAGGAAGTGATCAAGATCGAAACATTTCATGGGTGACATCTATAAATATTAGGAAAAGCTTAAAGAATGGAATTTTTAAAGGTTATTTTTCGTTAAAGAAGTTATAGAAAAGTTAGAGCAATAATGAAACTTAAGAGTGCTTTCTGTTTCTGGCTTATTTCGCTCAGTGTAATGTCCTCCAGGTTCCCCTGCTGCTGCAAATGGAAACACTTCTGTCTTTTCATGGGTAAATAATATTCCACTGTATATGCAGGGGTGGGAAAAAGGAGGTTTACAGTCACGAGAACAAAAAAAACCACGGTTTATTCTTGTGTTATTATTAATTATCGTAGTATGTTCTGTACGAACAACTGTAAACCTACTTTTCCCACTCTGTATATGATCCACATTTTCTTTATCCATCCATCTGTCAGTGGGCTCCCAGGTTGTTTCTGTGTCTTGGCTACTGTGAATAAAGTTGCAATGACCAAGGGAGTGCACATATCCCTTTGAGATACTGATTTCATTTCCTTTGGATATATACCCAGAAATGAGACAGCTGAATTATATGGTAGGTCTCCTTTTTAAATATTTTACGGAAACTCATTACTGTTTTCCATAATAACTATACCAACGTATATTCGCACCAACACTGTACAAGGTTTGCTGATCTCCACACCCATCAGCAGCAGAAGCAGAATCTCTCTAAAACAAGCAACCAATACTAAGTGGCTTTCATTTATTGAAGGAGAGCCTTCTGCTTCTTCAAACCACTAAGGGCAGAACAAGGGCTTTTCAGGGAGCAGCCCAAGCCAAGGAGCCTAATGGAAGTTTCAATTGCTGTGGTTTTAACCCAGACACCCTCCCTAGCTGGCTGCTAGCAATAGACCAAATGGAAGAAGAACAAACCTTTTAAATGCCAGCCCAAACTTTCTGATTGAATCTAGACCACAACCACCATCTGAACGAGAAACACAAGAAAGGGAGGAGCTTGGAAAATAACTACAGCGTAAGTGATCGTGTGAATTCGAATTCTTCAGTGACACGGACTCATGGTGCTTCTCAATGTTCTCCCCTAATGCAGATGTGATGAAAGGCCTTGTTTTCACGATCCAAATAGCAATTAATGTGACAGCAAGTAGTTATTACTGGCTAGAATGTGCCATTACTGAGATATCTTTTTGTTAACCATCAAGATTTTTTTTTGTTTCTCTCACCAGTAGAAAGATAATTTCACATTGCCTTCTGTTGAAAGGAGGGAGACAAAAAAAGTCTAAACTAAATTCAGTAAAAGTAAAAATCTGATGGCGTATGCTTATCTTATGGTGAAAGATGAAGACAAATGAAATTCTGTAGGATTGTTGAGCATTCTGATAGAGCTTAGAAAAGACTCTCTACACCCCTACCCTTAGCTAAGGAAGACTATCTTTACTTTTTTTCTTTTTAAGCTTTCTTAAATTTTTTTTCTTTATCGATTCCAGAGAGAGAGAAAAACATCGATGAGAAAGAACATCGATTAGCTGCCTCCTGCATGCCCCCCACTGGGGGTGGACATGTGCCTTGACCAGGAATCAAACCAGTGACCTCTTGGTGCATGGGTTGATGCTCAACCACTGAGCCACACCAGCTGGGCTAAGGGAGACTATCTTTCATGAAGAAGTCTCTCCAGATCAGTTCCATATAAAATACAATTTTTATTGCTGAATATTCTTCCATTATATGGATATACCATAGCTTATTATGTCTCCATTCACCTGTTGAAGGAAATCTTGGTTGCTTCCAATTGTTAGTGAATGTGATAAAGCTTCTGTAAACATCCTTGTGCAGGTTTTCATGCAGACATAAGTTTTCAGCTCATTTGGGTAAATACCAAGGAGCATGATCACTGAATCATTTGGTATCTATAGAACTTTTAACAGTCCTCAATAACCATGAGTTATATTTTTTAATTTTCATAATAGCCATCTTGCCTATTTTGCTAAACCAATTCCTAGGTACCTCACAGTTTCATAGTTATTAATGTTTTATATTTTCATTGTGAATTTCTAGTATACAGAAAAACAACTTACTTTCTGTACATGAATTATAATTCAAATCATCTTGCTGGGTTCATTTATTAACTCTAATATATGTCTCTAAATTATAACTGATTTTTATTTTCATTGTAGACTTCTAAATTATCTTCATATAAGGACAGTTTTGTTTCATCTTTTCCAAAACACCTCGATTTTTTCTTTCTTTACTGACCAGGGCCTCCAATTAAATATGTAACAGTATATTGGTAATATTCTTTATCTCTTGTTTCCCTGATTAGTCTTACAAAGAGCTTATTAGTTTATGAATCTTTTCTAAAACTCACTTTCCCTTTGTTGATTTTATTTATTGATGTATGTTGTTATTTTTACTATTTCCTTCTTTCTACTCCCTTGGAGTTTGATTTGCTATTCTTTCAAAAAATTCCTCACATGGAAAATGAGGTATTGATTTTAAGACCATATTATTTTCTCATTTATGAATTTAATGCCTGAAATTTCCCTATTAGCACTGAGTTTGCTGCATCCTACAATTTTTCATAGGTCCATTAAAAATATTTTCTATAAAAAATATTTCCTAAGTTCCCTTTTGAGTTCATCTAGACACACAGGATTTTTTAGTAGTGCTTTATCTCGAAAACGTGGGATTTTAGAGTTATCTTTGTGTTTTGACTTCCAGCTTAATTCCTAAGGATTAGGGATTAGATCGCTTCGTTTTCATTCCTTTGCAGGCGGAGGCTGTCTTTACTGCATCGCTTAACGCTTAATTCTGCACTTGCTGGGTTCCACGTATGCCAATTAGTTGAAACTGATTGACTGTATTGATTCAACCTATGTCCTTCTGCCTCCTTCTTGTTGCATCAGTAAAGAGGACGGGTGCTGAGCAATAGCAATGATGCTGAGTTGACAGTACTCAATAAAGAGAGTGAAGTGGGAAGTAGCAGGGTGGAGCCCCCCCAACTGAAGAGCACAGGGCCATTCATTCACTCAGAAGCGCGGATTCCAAGGGATATTCTGAGCTCGGTGCTGGCTCCTCTGTGTTTGAGAAGTTCAAGTGGAGAAGCCAAGTTGGCGGCTGGGCACATGCTATGGAGCTAGGAGAGGGGTCAGGTCTAGAGATAGACTTTGGAGAGACTGACATTCAGATGATAATGGGAGGCATGGAAATGCGGTGGAGGGTGTAAGACGGAAAAGACAGGACTGGGCTTTGAGGAACTTCAGCACCTAACAGCCTGTTTGAGTAAGATAAACTTGTGAAAGAGAGTAAAAACCAACAACGAGAAGAATCAAGAAAAGGGGGTGGGGAAAGTTCCGTGTCACCTAAAGACAAATAAAACTCAAAACAGAGAAGAGACAAAGGAAGGGCGTTGTGTAGAGGAAGTGGTCAAGAATATCACAAGCTTGGCAAGGTAGTAGCCACCAGTCCTGAGCCGGCTGACGTGGTGCAACAGAGATTATTGGTGATCCTGGTATGATTTGTTTTGGTGGCATTCAGGGGTAGAAAACCTGACTGAAATAGGCCCAGAAGGGAGGGGGAGAGAAAGAAATGGAGAAAACTGATCAGCTGACTTACAAACAACGGGCTGGAGGAGAAAAGAGACTTCGGTTGGTCACACTGTGGGGATTTGATCACGGTTAGAGTCAGATAAATGCCATCCTCTGAATGCTGAAGGTGCAGGCCTCCTGGACGACAGTGCTCAATCAATAATGACTTGACTCAGTTGCTCCCATCACTTGCCAGCACACACAAACACACACACATTTTCTTGATTCCTTTATGCGAATATGCACCCTCAGCCATGCAACTATGGACCCAGGCTTTGCAAACCACGCACTGTACAATAAACAGTTCCACCAACACATACCAAGAGGAAGAGAAGGTAATTCACTTCTTCGTATAATTGCGCTTAATGGTCCTACAGTAAGCCACACACACAGAGCGCTTAACCAGTTCCTGCATTATGGGCACACTGAAAGGCTTTCTTGGCCGGGAATTCCCTGCAGAAATAGAATATCTGAAGTATCTTTAGGACTTCATGTGCAGAGGGGTAGTGTGAGGGGAAGAGGTGAGCTTCCAGTAAAAATCTAACTGCAGCTGGGTCTTAGGTTATTAAAATGTGAAAAGGTTAAAGACACACATTCATTTAGAACAAAGAAAACTTTATATACATCTCCCTGCGCAGTTTCTGTTGTAACCTACAGAGTGTGTACAGCAAATTCGGTGTATCTCTGATATGCACAAAGCAAAATCTTTCAGAGACATGGTTTCCCCTGTCAAAAGCGCAGAGGAAATGTTACATACAAATACCTATCTTCTAAATAAACATCTCACACCATTTAGCATGCCTCTACTTCCAAAACACCAAGCCAGAGGTTCCCTTTTAGAAAATAACCTTTTGAAGCATTTCCACGCCCATACCCATGTCAACAGACACAGCAAACACCTACTAACCAGCCAAAGAAAACGCACCTCCTGCGAGCAGATTGGAAAACGCAGTGATTCTAACAATGCTATAGATAATTTTATTGCTGACCTCTAGAGATTTGTAACCAGTTTCCAAACATATACTCGACGATAATCACATCACGATACCCTAAGGCAGTCTCTTACAAAAATAAAAGAGTCATGCTTTTCTCAATTAAAACTGATGGAAGAATCACTTGGAAGGGACAAAATATAAGCAAAAAAAAAAGTATTTAATATGTTGGGTGGTGGTAGGGGAATGGCAAGAGCTGTAGAGAGCCAGGCTGGATTTTTCTATCACGCATCAAAAAAGCCCCTTAGATAAGGTGAGCAGAGGATGGAAGGAAGGAGGGAGAAGCCAAGTGGATGTGTGTAGGGGAAGCACCTTCCACCCAGAAGAGGAAGTACCCGAGATCCGGAGTGGGGCA